TGGAGATATAGGGGTCTAGTGAGAGAGAGAGAAAGAAAGAAAGAAAGAGAGAGAGAGAGAGAGAGAGAGAGAGAGAGAGAGAGAGAGAAAGATAGAGAGAGAGAAAGAGAGAGAGAGAGAGAGAAAGAAAGAGAGAGAGAGAGTCAGGCACATGGATAGATAGACAGATTGATAGATAGATAGATAGATAGATAGATAGATAGATAGATAGATAGATAGATAGATAGATAGATAGAGACAGCATGAGACAGAGAGAAAACGAGAAAGTTACAGCAAGAAAGAAATGAAGACAGAGAGACGATCTCTTGAGTCAGGAATAACAGTGGTTGTAGAACACGAAGAGAACTTTAAATTTAATAGACCTATTATTACCCAGACACTCAGGTACATACATACACACACACAAACACACACACACACACACACACACACACACACACACACACACACACTCACATACACACACATAAACACATACACACACATACACACACATACATATTATACACATACATATTATACACCCACACACTTACACACCTAATAATATACACAACTGTACAAACTGCCGAGAGGGAATGTGAGAGAAGAAAAAGAGGGAATAGAGACAGAAAAAGCGAAAGAAAGAGAGGCAGAGAGACAGCGTGAAAGAGAGATGAAAAGGATAAAAATTTGCAAAGTAGTGTGTGTTTGTGCATGTGTGTGTGTTTGGGGGGTGGGGGAGTGGGGAGGGAGGTTCGGATAGAAGCAACAACCCCCCCCCCCCAAAAAAAAAAATCAATAAGTGAAAACGAAGGAGCCAAAATTTAAAAAATCCAAAACGTGATATTTTGAGCTAAGGGGAATTCCCAGAGCTTGGTGAATACCCAAAAACGTCCTATTTCATTCACACCCCCATCTGCGCATGACAAGATCAAGAGGGAGATGAAAGGAGTATTTGGCTCTAATCAAGACTTCTTTCTTCGCTTGTCGCTCCCACTAACACAGACAGAATGCCGATGAAGATTTACGGAAACTTTTCCCGCCATCTTCACATGACAAGGCAATTAGGCTTCTTGATCTGGTCATCTCTCCTACTATTTTTAGCAGTCTTTCGCGTTTGCTAATAGATCCTGTGTGATATTTTCGCCAACAGCTTTATGTAAACAAACAGATAAAAATATGCTTAGGAAAGTTCCTTCATTTTTTCCGTTATCATATTTTCTATTTCCATCCTCCCCCCCCCCCCCCCCCCACACACACATTTCGTCTTTTTTTCATAATTTCTTTTTCGTAATTTCTTCTTAACATTACTTTCTTTTCAGTTTTCTTTATTCTCTTTATCTCTCATTTCTTTTATTATCTATATGTTTTTTAAAATTTAATAATATGTATGTCTGTTCGTGTGTGTGTGTGTGTGTGTGTGTGTGTGTGTGTGTGTGTGTGTGTGTGTGTGTGTGTGTGTGTGTGTGTATGTATTTGTGTGTAATAAAGATAAGGATCATAATGAAAATTAGATCAGTTCTATAGTACCCACTCCCTGTGACCCTAAGCGCTTCGCAATGAAATAAGAATTATATTACATGCATACTTTATATATACATTATGCATCCTTCCGTGCATACATTATGCATACATTATGAATCCTTACGTGCATACATAATGCATACATTATGCGGGGACTCTCGTGGCCCAGAGGGTAAGGTGTTGGCCTCACATTCAAAGGTCCCGGGTTCGAATCCGGGTTGTGACCGAAAAATTTCTTCTCTAAAGTTGTCTCCTTTCACCTCCTTTCCTGCTCTCTAGCAATGTTCTGTCGTCTGCTTTCGTCTCCTCTTTCTGCCCCCACTCCCTCATCTCCTTTGCCCCCCGTCCTCTGGGCCCCTGATTCTTTCTACAGTCTTTCTACTGCTACTCCTTGGCTTCTTCTTACTGCTGTCTTTCAGCCACACCCCTGATCTTCTGGTAGGAAAGATCTACACCTAGCCTTCACGGACAAGGACGAAAAATATCGGAGGGCCTGTGTGCAAGTTGCGCACGTTAAAAATCCCTTGGTGGTCTAAAATCGATAAGAGTAGGCTTCGGCCACCACCCGGGCAAAATTAAAAATGTCCTACCAACTGAAAAAGTTTAATGTGTACCGCGCGCTCATATGACCTTATGCAGTTGCGAGCGCCGTAAAACACTTACAAAAACAAAACAAACAATACATTATGCATCCTTGCGTGTATACTGGCCCTTTCAACATACATGCCCAAAATTTTACATGCGCCTGGTTCCACCGCGTCGTGACAGAGTTGAAGTTTTGTAATATCTGTATAAGGTCACATGGGTGCATGCGTGCGTGTGCTGTGATTGCCTGCAGGTTTTGTAAGTGCCTAAGCTATGATACCTGTCACGACATGGTCTGTTTAAGTTTTCATAAGTTTTGGGACTTTGTTGTGGAATTTTCGGGAACATCTTAAACCTTTTTTTTAAATATTTGCTTTGCTTTTGATTTTTTAAAAACACATTACTACTAGACTACCGCTGTCTTCTTACTATGGCTTTTTGACATTGAACATTGGATAGATTTAACGTCTTTTTTAACACTGTAAAAATTATTTAAGAGCAGGGACTTCCGAATTCAACCTCCATCTCCGAAATATTTAACAGTTAAAAATACCATAAACACCCCTCCCCCCAAATCACAAGTCTCCATTAAATTTACGCGTACCTTTTGATTGGAATTCTTCTTGGACAGAAGGAGAGAGAGAGAGAGAGAGAGAGAGAGAGAGAGAGAGAGAGAGAGAGAGAGAAAGAGAGAGAGGAAGGAGAGATGAGACGAAACGAGAGATGCTTTGCTTTCTTTTTTTTTATGTGTGTTTTACGGCGCTCGCAACTGCATAAGGTCATATTAGCGCGCGGGACACATTGACCTTTTTTCAGTTGGTAGGAAATTTTGAATTTTTCCCAGATGGCGGCCAAAGCCTGCTCTTATCGATTTCAGGACCACCATGGGATCTTAAACGTGTGCAACTTGCACACGGGACCTCCAAAATATTTCGCCCTCACCCGACAAGGCTATGAGTTAAATCTTACTTACCAGAAGATCAGGGATGTATATGAAAGACAACAGTGAAAAAAAGCCGAATGGTAGCAGTAGAAAGGATGCAAAAAGAATCAGGAGCATAATGGAGGGGGCAAAGTTGAGGGGGGGGGGGGGTTAGAAAGTGGAAACGAAAGCAGGCGACAGAATGTGGTTAGTTTTGTTTTTGTTTTAGTAAAGTGTTTTACGGCGCTCGCAACTGCATAAGGTTATATGAGCGCGCGGGACACACCTAATATTTTCAGTTGGTAGGAAATTTTGAATTTTGCCTGGGTGACGGCCGAAGCCTACTCTTTGCGATTTTAGACCACCAAGGGATCTTTAACGTGCGCAACTTGCGCACGGGCCCTCCTAGATTTTTCGCCCTTGTCCAAGAAGGCTAGGTGTAGATTTTTCCAACCAGAAGATCAGGGGTGTGGCAGAAAGACGGCAGTAAGGATGAGCCTAGGAGTAGCAATAGAAAGGTTGCAGAAAGAGTCAGGAGCCCAGTGGAGGGGGCAAAGGAGGTGATGGGGTGGGGGCAGAAAGTGGAAATGAAAGCAGACAACAGAACATTGCTAGAGAGCAGGAAAGAAGGTGAAAGGAGACAATTTTAGAGAAGAAATT